GACACAGTCCACAGGCTAGGCATCCCACAGGTAGTGTAGCCTTTAAATTGAGGCACAGAACAAGCAAGGCAGTCGTACATTGGTCTGATGATCAAAGAGCGAGAGAAGAAAGGTGAGACTCACCAAGCCATTTATCTCTTTGCCCTTCAGTTAATCCCACTTGTGTTTATCAGCCAGGCTGGCACAATAAACTATCTCAGATGGTAATGATGATGTTGTGGGTAATGATGATGGTGAGGCTGATTGGAATGTTGATGGTGATGGTGATGCCAGCTTACAAGAACTGCTCATCTCTCAGCCAACGTGAACCTGGAAGCTTCATTCATTCCTTCATTCATTTGAAAACAAGCACTTCTTGTACATCACCACAGGTCTGTGTGGGGACATACCAATACCCAAACAGAAACCCCTCTTGGCCCCACCCATCTGTGGGGGGTTGGCCACCGAAGGGGCTGGTCGCATCCTTCATGTAAGCCCAGTTTCATGCTGAGCTGAGCCCTGTGAGTGCGGCACTGTCCACTGTCGTGCAAACTGGCTGGCTCACAGAGTAAGCTGATCAGGGCCCCTCTTCTGTGAAAGACTGGGCTTTCTCCCTCTCTTTTATTCCCCAGCCCTTGCGGCAGCTGGCCTTCCCAGTGTGGAGCAGACCCAGACGCGGTCACCTGGGCTGGGATGTTGTGGGACATCAATCTACTCCACTCGCTTCTGAAGGACAAAGTTATCCTTCATCGGGGGCTTATAGCGTTCCCCCACCCTGCTGCTCTGAGATATGAGAACATTCTGACGCTTCTACAACAGAGATGTGGAGGCAAAGCCCCAGAGAGGCCTCTCTTATATGCCTTTGACCCTTAGTCTTCTTGTGTCCCCTCCCTCTCAGATTCCAGCTCTGCGCTTACAGCATCTTTCAGGAATGGTCCTCCATGCGAGATATTCAGGCTGCCCCCGGGACGCTCACATGGTTTACAGACAAGGCTTTGGGCCTTCTCATTCTCCAGGGGTCCTTTCAGCCCCCTGACTGTGGACACTGCCATCCTGAAATGCACTGTCTGGGAAGAAGAGAGAGGAGGGAGTGTCGTGGAAACTCCTTTCTTTCTCCCTGACATCTGTCAGTGACCTTTTGTGGGAATGAGCAGTGTGGCTTTCCCCTGGCCTCCTGACAGTGTGTCCACTTGCCAAGGAGTTCTCTCCCCTCTCTCCCTCCTTGGCCCCTGGCCTCTTTCTTCTCCTTGACTTCCTTCTTCCATAAGTGCCTCATGACGCCTTTTTGAACTATTGCTATTATAATGTGTGGTAGGTGGTGGGTTTGCATACTAGACCGTCAACTCTGCATTCAACAGGCACACACACACACACACCATAGCCTACCCCTGTCCCTCTTATGGACCTCCACCTTCCTCTACCCCTGTCCCTCTTATGGACTTCCACCGTCCTCGTACCCAAGTCAGTGCTGCTCAATTCTCCAGCCAGTCGCAGTTGCTTCCTCTTCCTGGCCTTGCCTGCCACACCACCCTGGCCACCCTGGGGAGCCTCCTGTATTAGTCTAGGTACTTTGGAGAAACAAATCCACAGCAACTCATGTATAAGAGAGAGTTTTATGCAAAGAAAATGTGCATCACGAAAACATCCCAACCCAATGCTGCCCAAGCCCACAAGTCCAACATTAACCCATACCCAACACCAGTCCACAAAGTCCTCCACCTCACAAAACAGAGGCAATGATGCCGACTGCAGGAGGAAAGCTGAGTCAGTGAACGTGTAAGCATCTCAGCACTGGCAGGGGTCTCCACATGGCTGCTCCAGCACCCAGGGCTGCATCGGGATAGATCCATGTGGCTTCTCCTTGGGGATGTCTTGTAGGAAGTCCATCTTGCAAGCTGAAGCAGGGAACTGCTAAGGCAGCTGCACCCGATGCAACCATCACAAAACAAGAGACCCGAGAACTAGAAAGGCGAGGCTTCACCACCCATTTATCCCTCCACCTTTCAACCAGCCCCACATGTGATTATCGGCCAGGCTGGCACAATTAACTAACTCACCTCCCAAGTCTGGCCCTTTTGGGATGCAAGTCTCTATCGCGATCGTTCTCCTTTGAACCATGGTCTTGTATGTTATTCGTCCTTTGGTGACTGCTCACTCCACTCAGCATACTGTGTGTCGGGTCCTTCCATGCCGGGGGCTCCTTCATGGCTCTTCATAGTCTTGTAGTGATGTAGAGTATCCCACCTAGTGAGGTTTTGCATCACAGCTGTGTTACAGGCCTTTCATAGTTTATTGACCTTAATTTGTTTCTCTAAATGTTTCTTAACTGGGGATCTGGCTGCCTTCTGTGCTTCTGGAGGGCAGAGAAAGGTACAAATCCCATTTGGAACATAGACCCTAGCGATAGCCACATGGTGGGTTATGAGAGATACTTAAATTAAAATCCGTGGGGTAAGACAGCGATGAAGATATTTAAATATCTTATGGATAGGAAAACAATCCTGGACTTAAACTTGTAGACAGTGACTTGCGTGCCAACAAGTTGGTTTTGACTCAAGGCGACCCTTGCGTGTAACAGAGTGGGACACTTATGGTCCCATGCCGCCCTCACGACCCTGGCTGTATTCGAGCCGTGTTGCAGCCACGGCGTTTATTCCTCTCATTAAGCAGCTTCCTCATTGTCATGGGCTCTCTCCTCTTCTAAGGGACTTTATCCGAGTACTTGAGATGTCTTGCGATCCTTGATTCTAAAGAGCATGTGGCTGCACTTAGGTTGACAAAGACTTGTTTGTTCTCTGTCAGCCCTGCTGCATTTCATCTGCTTCACCAACATCATACTCTGAAGGACTAGTCTGCTCTCGGTTTTCCTTATCACTGCCCATTGTCAGTGAGCGGTTGTGCTACAATTCTTCTCTGCGCTCATTCCCCCGGTTTTCTGCTCACTCACTCCGTGGTCCTTCGGAAACATTTCCATGGTTACGACTTCATCTCTGATATCAAAGGCTATAGTGGTCCTGCTTATAGAGGCCCTTTAGAGGTCAGGGACGGCGAGATTCGTCTTACATGCTTCAGGCATGTTATCAGGAGAGACCAGTCCCTGGGTGGGGACTTTGTGCCTGGGCCAGGAGAGGGGCAGCGTCAGTGGTAAAGTGTAAAGCAGAGGGGCGGCGAGAAAGAGGAAGGCCCTTTGGGAGACGGGTTAACACAGCAGCTGCCACGGTGGGCTCCACCCTCAGAGCCATGGTGAGGACGGGGTAGGACGCTGCCTTCTGTTTTGTTATGTTGTGCGTAAGGGTGGCCGTGCCTGGGGCCCGACATGCCAGTACCTAAGAATCAACCGCCACAGCCACTGGAGGAGACGCCAGTCGTGTCTCCCTCGTGGCGTGTAGCGTGTCTGGCCCTGCTCAGGCCGCCCATTTCCCCTCTCCTTTCCCAGAGGACTGCCAGGCTGCCCTCTGAACCGCAGTGGCTGTGTTAAATCTGGGGGTAATGGACAGTTGTTGTTGTTCCCAAGGACAAAGGGGTGAACATTTGGTGGTGAAGGTGTGGATGCTCGTTCCAGCTACCCTGAGCTCTCTCGACTTCTGCCACTCTCGAGTCCTTGTTTTGTTGAGAGCTGAAGTTTGTTCTGAACTGAGGTCTGCAGGGTGAGAGCCCTGGCCCAAAGGCACTTGGTTGTGGGGGATCCAAAGGCACTTGGTTGTGGGGAACCCTCTGAAGGATCCCCGAGAGCCCGGAGCGCTTCCCCTCGGACTTCGCTCTGCCTGGGCTTGCAGTGCGGGACAGCATCGTTAGCTGGAGAGCCAGCAAACAGGCACCTTCTGTGTCAGACATAGTGAATCAGATTTCTCCACCAGCATCAATCCTGCTTTCTGGAGTTGCGGTCAGTCATCTGGGATTAGCTTCGTGGATCAATAGCTATTTATCACGAGGAAGCTTCCACTTTGCTACCTTTCTCTGTGTCATAGAAATAAAATACAAAGTCCAAGCCCATGCCCTGCAAGTCTAATCTGACTCAGCGTGACCCGCTATGGGGTTTCCAAGGCTGTAAATTTTGGGGGGAGCTGACAGCCTCACTTGTCTCCCGAGGAGCGGCTGGTGGGTTTGAACTGCCATCCTTTCAAAGAGTAGACCAACAGTTATCGACAGCTCCACAAGATCTGGTAATAGAATGTAGGTAATGTCACTCCTGGTTGGGAATGTGTACAACGTTTAAACTGACCAAGGAACAAGGCGTGATTTATTCTTCTTACCTACCAGTGTGCCCCTGCGTGCTCACCTCCCACCTTTCTTCCACCTCAAAATGAATCGCACCATGGGTGCTCCCTGGCCAGTTTGGCAAGACCAAGAGCTTAGACCCTAGAGTCTTCCACAGGTCTCACATTACCAAAAGATGCTTCAAAGGCTTTGCTACAAGATGCTAATCATTTAAATGTTCTAAGTGCATTGGTCGGCACAAAGAAACTGATTATTAAATTTTCATCCTTCAGAGATTCTGAGTAGAATGTTTAATATAATAAAGGCTCATTAATTACGCTTTATCAACCACTTATCTGTCAGTCTGTCATACTGTGGTGGCATGCGGGTGTGGCTGTGATGCTGGAAGATATGCCACCCGTGTTTCAAATACCAGCAGGGTCACCCATGGGACATCCTGGTGAGAAGAAGCTACTTCCAGAAAGATGGGCGAGTGGAACGCGTGCGGATATCAGGGGGACGCTGTTGGCTGTGATGCTTCGTGAGGACCACCCCTCAGCTTGGAAGGCTCTCGGCGTCTCAGTGCATGTTAACCCTGCAATGCACTGATGGCGTTAGACATTTCACTTGTTAGCTTCAGAATGTTCATTGGATCCAGATTCAGGAAGTTCCAGTTTATGTCCATGTCTTTGTTTCCGTAGCGAACGGCTCCATCTCTTCTATATTTTGAAATCTAATATGTGCCATGATGTGTGGGGTTGTTGTCAGCGGACTGTGCCTGGGATCACCTGTGGGTCTCCCTTGGTGCCTCTCTCTTCTCTTTAACGTGGCCCCGAGTCCTCTCTTAGGTAGGGGCTGGTGTTTTAGCTGCTGTTTGAAAACAGGAATGTGTATCTGAGAAAACAAGGCTGTGGGCTCTCTGGATGGGATGGGATCTTCCCCTAAAACGGAGCTGTGTCTTCCAGGCAAAGGAAGCAGGCCTGTCCACCTCCTTCTGCCGAGGGAGTGGGCTCCGCCTAGACTGTAGCTCAGTGAGACCCAGTCGACTCTTTCTCTTCAAGGGTTTAAGGTTGTGAGCGAGTGCTCGTATCTGGACTCCTATTCTTCTGTATGTTCCCCAAGGACTACTTTTCCCTGGAGACCGATAAGACTCCCTTCTGCTTTCCAGAGCTTCTCTTTCAGTATTCCCACTCCACAAACGCCTTGGGGTGCGAATGCCTGCATGCGCGTGACCTCTCCAAGTGTTGCTACCCCTGCCACATGTTGCTGCATCACACCCGCAGAAGGAAGTGTGTGTGTGTGTGTTTGTGTGTCTTGGGGTGGGGGTGCTAGGAGGGGCAATGGCTTCATCTTCATTGCTTAATATTCCATCTGAGCCAACCTTCCCTTGATAAACCTGATCACCCACAGACACACTAGGCTAGGCTGCCGTGTCTCCATTTTAGACAGAAACTCTTTGTTTTATGTTGGAGCTCATTTACATATAAGATTACCTCTAGGGTAATTAATTATCACTTAGTTTACAAATTTTCCATTGTACACAAGTTTTCAGGTGGAGTGTACTTTTAATTAGGCAGAGAACCGTCCACATTAATCAAGCATCTGAGGTTCCTTCAAATGCATTGCCTTTTACCAAGAGCAACTGGAAGTCACTGCTGATGAATAATTTATAGGAGAGGCGTACTTACAATTAGTGACACATTTGCGTTTGTGCAACGCATGCATACGAGCGCGCATGGCCCGCCTGTGGGAAACACGCCGCCTCTTGAAGGCGCCGGACAGAGTCGTTCACTCGGAGGCAGATCCATTCTTGGACTTGCTCGAGTTCCTTTCAAATGATGTCAACTTTAGAAACGTCAGTGTCTTTGTGAGCATGATGCAATCTCGTGCAAAAAGTGGCAGGAAATAAACCAAACTCTTGACCGTCTGCAGTGCTGAGTGTGAGCGCCATAGGGCAGGCTTCGGCCCGAGTTTCCTTTCCCTGCCTCTCTCCTTTCTGGCTCTCTCAGGTGTCTTCCCGCTTTCTGGTATGCCCCGCTGTCGTGATCCGTAGGGTTTTGCCCAGCGGGTGCTTTGGAAGTAGCTCTCCAGGCCTTTCTGCGTAGTCTGTCGCCATCTAGAACCCCCACTGAAACCGGTTGAGCACAACAGTATCAAGCCAGGCACCACTGACAGACTCCCGCCTTAGCTGGGAGTCAGACCCAGTCCTCCCCCACGGAGGTTGAGAGCTCAGCCCCTGAGTCACACGGTATAGATGCTGCTGCAGGGCATCTTGTGGTTGTCGTTGTTAGGTGCCTGCGAGCCGGTTCCGACTCATGAAGACCCTCATGTACAACAGAGCAAACCACAGCCTGGCCCTGTGCCGTCCTCACAATGGCCCTCAGGCGGGAGCCCATCACTGCAACCCTGTGTCCGTCTGTCTGGTTGAGGACCTCCCTCTTTTGGCTGTGCTTCCGCTTGACCAAGCATGCTGACCTGCTCCAGGCACTGGCCTCTCCTGGCGGCCCGTCCTAAGTACGCGAGATGAAGTCTTGCCGTGCCTGCCTCTAAGGAGCAACTCTGGCTGTACTTCTTCTGAGCTGGATCTGTGTGTTCTTTTGGCCGTCCCTGGCAGCACCATAGCGCCGACACATCCATGCTTACACTGCATCCAAGGAGCCAGCAGTGTCACCGTTACCAAAAACCACGTCTTAGCAGAGAGGGCCACCTTGGTGGGAGTTGCAATGTAACCATGGGCAGCCCTCCCAGTTCATCCCTTTTCAAGGTGGGCTCTGTGTTTTGTGGGGGGGGGAGGAAGTGGCCTATTCCGAGCCGCTGCCCAGGCCCCTCTGTCCTTGCCCCGAGGCAGCAGGGAGACGGGCTGGGGGCTTCCGGGGCCAGCAGGACCCCTCGAGCTCTGTGTGTTTCTTTGCAGACTGTACGAGAACAAAGGGGAGGCCGACTTCATGGAGTCCTTGCTGCAGCTGTTCCGCTCCATCAACAGCATGATGGGCAACCTGTCGGAGCAGACGGTGCGGGTGAAGGTGAGCCACAGCCAAGGATGGCCTGGGAGCTGGGCACCCAGCTGTCTGGACTGGTGGGGGAGGCCTGGACTGGTGGGGGAGGCCTGGGGTGTCTTTTCTGCCATGATGCCCGGAGGCTAATTCGATGATGCCCTGAGGCTAAAGGGATTTCTACCCTTCCTGGATGTTCTTCCACGCTCTTGTCAATCACCCGCTTGCTGCCCCACTGGGAGAGCCTGGCTCTTCACTTGGTTGAAGTAAGGACAAGTCAAAGAGGAGAGGGCTTGACCCTGCACTTGCTGGAGGACCGGGCTCCGGGAGGTGCCTGGGGACATGGGGGCTGCATCTGGCGGGGCTCCCCTGGGGAGAAGCTTTCCCATCTCCATCCAGGCTCTGCAGGAGGGCGAGCTCCTGACCCTCCTGTTCCCATTCACCCCAACTTTGCCCACCTGTCCTCATTGCTGCTCTGTGAAAGAAAGGTGCCGTGAGGCCTGGGTGCTCACTTACTCGCTGCCTGGGAGTCCACATGCGGGTGGGCTGCAGACTCCGTCACCCGTGGGTGCCCCTCCTATGGGGCTGGTTGGTGCAGAAACCTGCTGCTGTGGAGTCAGTCACTTTGGACACGTGGTGACTCCGTGTGCTTCGTCCACAGGGTGGCCCACGGAGCCGATGGTGACTCACAGAGACCCCGTAGCACAGGGTAGAGATGCCCTGTGGGTTTCAGAGACTGTCACTGCTTGTGGGTGTAGAGCGTTTTTTCTCTCTCTTGGGAAGCCTGGTGGCTCTGAACTGCTGACTTTGCGGTCAACCACTGGACCACCGGGGCTCCTCACAGGGTGGCCACCACTTCTTTGTGTCCCTTGCGGCACCTCTGGGAACACTCGAGCCTCCAGCCTGTCAGTTTGAGCCAGGGAGCCCCATGTACCACCCATGGCAGGAGCTATGTGGCTAGTTAGCTGCCTGGTCCAGTTCCTTCCAAGAGCAAGGATTCCCCCAGTGGCGTTGAAATCCCAGCTTTCCCTAGGCTCCTCAAGGCCAGGCTGGCTCCTCCTACCTGGGCGTCCACCCCAACCCCAGATGCTCTTTTCTTCCCGACTTCCGAACACCCCCTCACGGCTGTAGTCTTACAACTACAGCCGAGGCTGGTGGCCGAGGCCTTGAGGTCCCACAGGAGCAAACTCCGGTACAGCCACCTTGGAGGCACGGCAGCCGTCTGGCAGAACCTTCGGATGCTGCAGTGTAAGTTTTCCGTCCTCAACACAGACATGTTATTTAAAAAAGAAAAAAATCAGGCATCTATGGAGGAAGCCATGTGGTGTGTCTATTAAGAGTTTTAGGCTGATGATTTTGGGAACCCCGGTGCTGCCAGGAGCTGCCTCTGCATGCCAGCGTTAAAATTCGCCGTGTGCTTGCGACGGCTTTTGACCAAACCCAAGGGGCTTTTTGGAAAAACTGATGTGCAACGGAGGGTGAGCACAGACGAAAATCACAGCAGGTTTTAGGGAGCACACACGTCATTGCAAGCTTCTAAATATACCCTGGTGTGATCTAATCTTTGGGGCCGACTCGTGCCTGCACGCCTCCATCCACGTCAGAAGACAGTGTGTGAGCAGTGGCGCTCACAGACCGGCCGGCTCTCTTTGAAGAGTCACCTCTCTGGCTGGTAATAACGTGCCCTGTCGCCTCGCACGAGGTGCCGTCCGACAGCTGAGGCACAGGGTTCTGGAGACGGGACCCTCACTTGGGCCTGTTCGGACGCCTCTGTTCTTTCCACTCTGCTCGGTGGACGGTGCTGAGGACCCGATGAGTTGCTTCACAGAGAGATGAGATGCCACCTCTCCAGCATCTTCAGGTTCAGCATCGCTTCCGGAGGGGTGGCCTTCGCGGAGCGCTGATGTTGATGTGGGCTGCAGGACACAGGGTGAAGTGCATTCTCAGGCCCCCATGGCCTGATTTTGGGTGCCCGGTGTGGCCTTATTTGAGAACTGCACCAATTGTCCTCCTGGGGGGAGGGCTTTCTGTCAAATCCAAAGGACAGCACGGAGAGTGTCCAGTAGTGAATTCTTGTGAGTCAGCGTGCTGCCCACAGGCCAGTCCTCACAGCGGCCCCTTTTTCTGTGTGATGGAGGCGCAGGTGTTTTCCAGCAGGGTCCCTAATTTTAAGCACGCAAACGCACAAGGAGTGGCGTGCTTGGGCGGGGTCTCATGTCCGGCGGGCAAGGAGGCCCCTGGCAGATGCGTAGATCGGGCCCTCGCCTTCTGTGGGCCCGGGTAGAGCCCCGTGGGTCTGCCTGGATCTCAGCTCTGCTTCCTGGGTTTCTGCTCAGCCTCCAGATGGTTATTTTCTCAAGTCCATCCATCTCCTGATTGATGTCCCAGCCTTGGGTACCTCTTGCTAGGGTTACATTAGGAGCCTTGGGTGGGTGGGGCACCGGTTCAGGGGCTTGGCCAATAACCAAGTTGTCTGTGCTTCAGACCCACCGGCTGCCCTGAAGGAGACAAGCCCTGGTGGTCTGCTCCGATCAGGACCGTCGTTCGGTGCTGTCGGGTAGTTTCCACTCATCCCCTCATGGAGACCCCTTGAACGCCATTACCAAACACCGCCGGTTCTGCTCTATCCTTCCCATCGTTCTTACCTTTGTGTCAACCCATCTTGTCGGGGTCTGCCTCTTTTTCCACTCTCCTTCCACTTTACCAAGCAAGATGTCCCTTTCCTAGGACTGGTCTCTGCTGATAACTTGTCCAAAGTGTGTGTGAGGGAAGACTCCTCGTCCTAGCTTCTAAGGAGCACTCTGCTGGACTTCTTCCAAGACAGATTGGTTTGTACCTTTGGCAGTCCATGGTACTATTGAGATGACAGCTTTGGGAACCCTGTTGGGCCATCTGCGCTGTCCTGGAGAGTGGCAATGAGCTGGACACAGATCGATGTCAATGGCTGCCCTGTGCCAGCTCCCTCTCTTTGCTTTGTCTCCTCTGGAGAGCATGCTTCTGAGCATGGCCCCGAGGGTGTGCTACCCCAGCCTTGCTCCTGCCGCTCACTTTGAGGGACAGCAGCTCTGCCTTGGAAACTTTGGGTCCGTACAGTCTGAGTATTAGCTCCTTTTGTTCCACGTTCATGTTGTTATTGTTGATGCCGAATCGGATCTGACTCACAGTGACCTCTATGTACAAGAGGACGACTCACCTCCAGGTCCTGCACCAGCCTCGCCCTCATTGCCTTGTTTGAGCCCATTGTTATAGCTACTCCCCCCCTCACGTTCTACTTTACCAAGCATGAAGCCCCTCTCCAGGGAGCGTCCCCCTGATAGCATGTCCAAAGAAGGCTAGACAAAGTCTCACCACCCTCCTTCTGCGGTACTGCACCCAAGGCAGATGGATTTATTCTCCTGCCAGTCCGTGGTCCATGCCAACACCACCATTCGAAGGGTCATCCTTCGGTCTTCCGTCTTCCTGGTCCAGCTTTCCTGTGTATGGGAGGCGGTTGCAAACACCACAGGTTGGTTCAGGTGTGCTTCAGTCCTCAAGGTGTTACTGCACTTCTGGGCCTTTCCAAACGTGGTTGTCAGCGGCAGGTTAGCCCAGTGCGGTCAGTACAGCGTTTGATGTCCTGACTGCAGATTCCCTGGGTGTCCGTGGTGCATCCAAGCAGAAGGAAAGAAGCCCTGGGCGACTGTGAGTGCATGGAAGCGATTTAAAAGGTTTGCAAGAGAGATCGATAGATAAGATAGGTAGACAGATTAGATTAAATTAGATAGATAGATAGATAACATGTGTGCGAGTCCCAAAAAGAATGGCGTGTCTTTTCTGGGACTGGCCCTGCAAGCCTGGGAGAAGCGGTTGTCGGGGACAGCTGCAGGTACTGGGGGCAGCAGGTGGTTCTGGGCTGGCCTGCAGGGCCCCCTGGAAGAAGGGGCTGTTGGGGATGGCTGAGTGGGTGGCAGCAGGTAGTTCTGTTTGTGGAAAAGCCCATGGTTAGGGGACCAGGTTGAGGGCAGTGGAGCTTTGCGAGGAGCCATCACAGCTGCTGCCATTTGCTCACAACTTCAGAAACCAAAATCCTCCCGACTGTGCAGCGACCAGAGGCAGGCTGTGCCTGGGACGGGGCACAGGCCGCTGGGCCAGCTGGGATGGAGGAGTCCACAGTGCTCTGTAGAGGGAGACGGGGCCTGGGATCCAGGGTCCAGATGTTCTTTCTCATCCTTGTGTGCATCTGCTGTGAGGATAAAACGGGGGCGTATTTGTGACTAAGCTCTTAGGCGCTTCCTGGAAGACATCCTGTCATTGGCCTGTTCGGTCTCGTCTGTTCCCATCTTCTAGATCTAAGGGTCTCCCACACTGACATTACTAGTTGATCGGGACTCAGTGTACTTCCTGTTTGACCATTTGGTCTCTCAGCCAACAGCCCAGTGCTGACCATGCAGTGTGATGCCGACGCGTGGCTGCCCTCGTGGCTGCCTTCATGGACTTCATGGACAGAGTAGAACTGCATACCGCTAGCCATCTTATAAAACAGGGGCCCTGACTCGAGGGCACTTTTCCTTACTGCCCTAGGGATTGACTGGGGTGGAGATTCGCTGGATTTGAGCCCTCCGTGCTGAGGTTGGCACACAGAGCCAGGGGGGTGGTCTTTGTTCCTAGGGAACGGGCATCCCTGCCTCCTCCCATCTTCACCATCTCACCTGTGAGCTGTGTTGGGAGCGAGCCCTTTGTGACAGAGTGAATGCCGTTTTCAGGTGAGCTTTGCTCTTCCTGGCCCGTGGTTCATTTCCTTAAAGAGAATAGTCTGTCCTGGATATGTGGCCCTTTCTCATCTTCTGCCTCAGCCTGCCTTCTCCTGAATATACGCCCTTGCTTGTCTACGCCTCTCTCAGTCTACACTCTTCCTCCCTGGAGCTTTGAGCAGCCTCTTGCTGGTTTGTTTATTCCAGGCTCGCATCTGGGATCCACGCTGCCTGTCACTGATGTGGAAGCTTAGAGGAGTATTACCCTGTGGAGGAGCCCTCCATGCTGGCGATGATGAC